TTTGTCAAAACGGGTTCCAAGCGGGGAGTAGTTTGCCAATCAATCAGCTCTTCATAGCTTGTTGCTTGTAGTCTAACTTCAGGGATTTGGAATTTACGATTTGGCATGTCATCTTCCCATGCATGTAGAATTCTTTTCAGAGCAAGTTTACGAATTACTTGACGGTTGTCTGTCAACATAGTAAGAATAATGCTCTCAATATGAGCTGGGTTGTTATTGCGCTTCAAAACTTGCTGAACCACAATTCTGTACTGCACAGGAAGAAATCATGATGTTTCTATCATTTTGTAATAGTGTGGTGCGGCATTTCAACAGTTTGAATATTTTTTTACATCAAACTATACAACTGCATAAGAATTCACTATAAATTTAACCAATAGTGTAAGTTCATTTGATGGAGCTACATTAGATATATATAGGTGCAAAACACAACTTGCAAGTGTCAACCACCTTGCATGGTTTAGCCGCCCAGGCAATCTGGATTCAAATCCCTGTGGTAAAATCCCTGTCTTCACTGCATTAATTGTTTTAAAAAAGTACAACTGATCACTGCCTAATAAATCTTTATCACAATTAATAGGTTTACCAGCAATAACAGCAAAGTTGACTATGGGTGGCTGCAATAGCTTTGAAATAGATTTGCCAATAGGTCCATTAAATGAATGTGGTCCAGTTGTTGCACCATCAAAGGAACTAAATAGATGTCGCAAAGGAAGCTCATTCAGATATAAGAGACAAATGGACCAGTGAAATGGACGAGCAAGTTCAATTTCTATTCTGCATATAACTCCATTATTTAAACCAGTGTTAATGTTTGTTGAATCTGAACCAATACAAACAATATTATTACAGTCTACTGTATCGAGAATTGATTCTGCAATGGATTTAGCAGGATCAAGATAAATTGACCATTCTTCTCCACTTACTGGAGAAGAATGGTCAATGTATCTTGATCCTGGGTCTGATTATAGAGAAATATGTTCTTCAGAAACTACAGTCTGCCGATCTCCAACAAGTTTCTATGTCTGATCTTTTCTGCCATCAAAATACAACCCAGAAATCTTGCAATCAGTATTTTTATATGCTGATCTCAGAAGTTTTCTTTCTCTTCGAATTTTATTGCGATCAACTGGTCCCATATGTTCTAAACTGAAATCAACAAGAGTTGCTGATACTAATGCAGCAACTGCACGATCTGAAGTGCCAAACCTATCTGCTTGTAATGCAATATTTCTAAGGCAATGTTTTTTAAGACGAGAAGTTTTGGGTATTTTATCTTATGTATCATCTGATGCACAAGGGGAATAAGTTTCAGAATCACTAGTTGTTTGAACTGTATCATTATCTGAATCTGATGCTTCAGCTACTCTGACACATCTGTTACTGATTTTATTTGTTGATCTTAACACTGATTTCCTTTTTAGACGCCTTTCAGCAAGTGCAGATTCCTTTTTATCAACACCAGTTATTCGACCAATATGTGCAGTGGGTTAATCTGTAAGAAAATTATGTTCAATTGCTACCTTCATATTAAGAGGGCAGCAGCAAGAAGAAAACTCTTTGCATTTACATGAACAAATATCAAACAGTTTATTAAGATTAGTCTTTTGAGTGTTGCAGATTTTGATTGCGCCACTTTCTGAACTTCACCTATATACTTTTCCAACTGGATTTCTATCCCTCAAAGAGTTATTGTAAGGAGTTAGTGCAAGAGTTTATCAGCCAGTATTTTACAGACAGTTTGTAGTGGCTCAGTTTCATAACTCTTTTCAAACAAGTATGCTTTGCCAACCTGTTTGTGCGTTGGCAAGTAAACGTTTGGTAACTCGTGAGCTTCACCAAAAAGTATATGATAGTTTTTTGCAGCTGCAGATCTTGATAACATTATAATTGTTTCATAGTTTTTAAAACAGATTAGAATTTGAATTAATTTCTGTAAATGAAAAAAACAGACAAAAAATTACAAATAAATATAAAACTACAAGCAGTTATGCAGTTTGAATAAACTAATAGTTTAAACACAGAACATTCATAGAAAATAATGTTTAAAATTGCCTAAATTATACTGTCGTGAGCGTTTGTTGTTCACGTGATAGCTACGTGACGGTCGCTTGTATGTGTTCTACGGCCTGTATATTCGTACCATCCTTTGTCGCTCCTTCGTCAATATAATCGCTAATTGGTTGTTTGATTATTCACCTGTGTTTAGCAATGTTGCATCAGCTAGATGGCGTGATGATGAACAATGGTCAGGGCCCAGTGAACATTTAGTATATAGTTTGGATTTTGCACGTATCATACACTGTGTGTTTGGCTTGCAGACATATCTGCTGTTCATTAGTTTGCATATATAGCTTGAGATTGACATAACAAAATAATAAAATAATTTCAGTAGATAATCTAAAGAATATAGATTATTACACTTACTACTATTTACAAATCCATACAAAATACATATTAACTAAATATTAGTCCCACAATATAGACAAAAATATGTGTAAATCGAAAACTAGTAAACATTTTTTATAGTTATACAATTACATAATTGCGCAATAATACGCATATACCTAAAAACTTAAAAACACAAAGTATAATCAAATTTTGTTCAAGTTTTTCTTTGCTAATAGTAAACAATGCTATATCATGCCACTTTTCCCAAATTCTCAAAGCAACTTAATTTTTATGATACGGCCTTATATATATATATATATATATATATATATATATATATATATATATATATATATATATATATATATATATATATATATATATATATATATATATATATATATATATATATGTATATATATATATATATATATCCGCCTTTTGCTTTAATACAACTAAGAACTCTTCTAGGCATAGACTCAACAAAATTTTTGCACATTGCTTCTGGGACCCCATACCAGGTCTCCTTAAGGAATTCCTTCAGCTGAGTAAGTGTGGAAATTTGAACCTTTGCTAATTCATGATCAATCCAAGCCCAAATGTTTTCAATCGGGTTTAAATCAGGTGAGTATGGAGGCCACGGTATTGTCATGATACTATTATCGTTAAACCACTCCTTTGTATAGTATGCATTATGTGCAGTAGCGCCATTTTGTTGAAGTTTCCATGGTTTATCATTGGCATAAGCAGGTCAATTGATGGAATTAAGTTGTTTTCCAGTACTTCTACGTATATTCTGGAGTTGATTCTTCCGGTGTATGTTTGGCACTTACCAACACCTTTGTAATTGAAGCATGACCAGATTCCTATCGAGCCTCCTCCACTTTGTACAGTCGCTCTAATGTACCTGGCGTAATACTTTTCATGAGCCATTCTTTTGACTGTTATGTTAGATCTGCGATTGATAAGCTCAAAGTTACTCTCATCACTCCATATAATGTTTTCCTATTGTTCTATTGTCCAATACCTTCTTTCACAACACCATTTTAGTCTCCTTTATTTATCATATGGACGCAGAAGCGGTTTCTTCAAAGCAGTGTAGACTCCAATCTTGTATTTGATAAGTATTCGGCGGACTGTGCTTTGAGAAATAGATGTATTTCGCGTTGTATTGAATTCTGTGGTTGATTCTTTGTAACTAATTCTTGGATTAGCTCTGACAGCTCTAAAATGAACACTATTGTCTTTTCTGGTGGTTGACAAGGGTCTACCTGGCCTCGTTTTCTCGCTGGCACCACCAGTGTGAAGAAAGTTTTGTTTCGTTGTCTGAATGCATTTCTCAGAAACTCCAATTAACTTGGCGATTTTTCTATTACTTTTGGTTCCTTCTTTGATGTGCGCAATAATTTGCCATCTTTCACCTTGAGTGATACGTCTTTTGCCCATTTTTCGCGTCTTTTTAGTGCAAAACTAACTTAACTTTTGTTTATTTATTAAATAATGATTAACTAATTCCAGGTAAGTCATATTTATATAAGGTTTTTTGACAAAATCAATTACTTTAGGCCTATTAATGAGAAATATGGGGAAAAAACTACTAATTAACTATCAATTAACAAGATATAAGACTTTTTTGATTGTGCGTCTAAATTTATGAACAAAATAAAATCAAGCTTATCAATTAACTTTTTTGTGTTAATCGGTATAGAATGAGTAATAAACATCCTGTAAAAAAAATTAAGGTACTCTTTAATAGAGTTTCACTTCCTCTTGTAAATTATATATTAAACATAGCGGTAGTACTTTTATTTTATTTTTATTTTGAATATTTTCTTGCATATATGAAAAAAAAAAATGAATGCGTCTAAATTTATGAAAGCTACTGTATATATATATATATATATATATATATATATATATATATATATATATATATATATATATATATATATATATATATATATATATATATATATATATATATATATATATATATATAACATATAAGAACTGGGGTGAGAAAGAAATATTTGTATTCATTGAGTTTTAAACAATCATGATAAATTCCATAAGATAAAATTTTATTTAACTGATCAGGTTTAATTATATATAATTCAACATAGTACATAATCTCAACATAGTGTATGATCAAAATGCACTTACTTTAGATAAAAGTGTGTCTTTCAAAAAAAAAACTGTAATAAAAATTGATACAAGTTGAAAACCCATGGAAACTATAGCAGGTTTTTCAAATGACTCAGCTAGTTTATCTCTGTGTTGTGATGCAAAATAAGCACCTATTAAAGGACCACTTATAAATGCTAATGAAAATGATAAGCCAATAAATACCTAAAAGAAAATTAATATAAAAATGTACTGTGAGCTATATAAAAATCCTTACAGAAAATTATGTGGCAACACTTACAAAATACATTCTTGTACATTAATTTATTCTGCATATACACATACCATTCCTTTTCCTCTGTTTTCTTTAGTTGTGATATCTGACATCATTGTAGTACAAAGTAGCACTGATCCTTTTGCTAAACCTCCAATAATTCGAGACAAAATAAACAGTTTAAATGTTACAGCTTTCCACCAGATGATATAAGATAATGTTGTACCAAACTAAAAAAAACTGCAAGTATTTAACACATGATTCAAATGTTTTTTATATATAGCTTTAATTATTTCAACAAACTAATAAAAAGTTTCTTATTTTAATTATAATTTAATAAATAATATTACGTTTATACTTCAAAAATAAAACATGTTTGCCAGTGAGAGGAAAAATTAAATCAATCTTTTTAAAATTTCATTACTTTTTTTTTTTACAAAGTTTTATAAAGGTAGTATCTAATATTATAATATAAAATATTTGTATTTTTATATTATTATATTTTTTATTTATTTTATATGTTATTGTAAACTTACTTTTATAAAGCTTTGTAAAAAAAAAATATTTTTGTGTAGTAAAATACATTTTAAGAGTTTAATATAATTTACTAATTAAAAATAGTAAAAGTGAATTTAAGGTCTCTATAAAAAAGCTGCAACAATAGAACTCGTACTTAGAGTCAACAAATACTTTTCTATAGTAACGTGAGTTATGCATATTTTTAGAGGTTTTTTTTTAACTAAGATTACCACATCTAAACTTTGGAATTTTAAAAATATTTTTACATATTCTTGTAGTTTAATTTTTTTAATAGCATTATGCAATATTTTTAAGCATTATGCAATATTTTTAAGCATTATGCAATATTTTTAAGCATTATGCAATATTTTTAAGCATTATGCAATAGCATACAGTGCATGGTAACTTGAATTCCATTATATATATATAAAAAAATTAAAAGGTGTTAAAATAAAATTGTTTTTTTTTTTTAATAGTAATAAAATGAATACACACATGGGTGTTAAATTAAATGAATGTATGCATTTATTGGATTTTATTGTTTATAAAACCAAATTGTTTTTAAAACAATTAATAAATGGATTTTTATATCACAGAAAATTGCATAAATTTGCATTTAAAATCATATCAACTCAAATTAAAATTATATCTAACTAATAAAAATGAATACAACAAAACTGTTTACTACACTTACAAGCCACTCATTGATAATTTAAAGGATATTTTTGATGAACTTTACCACATTTACAAGTCTAAAATATTTATAACTGTTCTTTTACCAACCATACCAAGATGCTTTCTATTAACACTGTTTAAAAATGGATTTTTCTATGTTTTGATGTTTTGAGGATTTGATCCAGTTTTTTTTTATTTTAATTTATTTTTAAATATCTTTTTATTTATTTTCATCTACCTTAACAAATTATCATATTTTTTTCATGTCAGAAATAACCAGAATATACTTTTATACTCTCTCTGCTTTTTTTATATCAATATCAACCCAATATGCTATCAGAAATCTATTAAAAATATCAAATTTGCCATACCATCACAACATACCTTGCCATACTATTGCAACAGAACGCTTGAACAACTTGAGTAATAGTAAATACTGTTAACATTATTTTTCTTTAAAAACTAATGTTCAATTAACAATTTTTAAAAAATTTAATGCAATTTTCTTAATAACTTAAATTTTATTTTTAAAGCTGACAAACTATATTTTATTTTATCTAATTGCTTCCAGTCTGTCACTGAAAAACATTAATGGAGTATTAAATAAATAATCTTTTATAAAATAACTAAAACAGAATATAAAATATATAATAATATAATATAAAAAAAAAAAAACTTTTTAGTTAAATCTATTAAGTTATACAGTTTTTAATAAATTTAAGTGTAGAAAACAAAACATAATAAAACAGAATAAATAAAAAAGGATAAAAATGCAAAAATTGAACTTTAGTCTAAATGATCCAAACAAAAGCAACTTTATGATTAAACATTTGAGATAAATTCAATGTATTTAATTTGTTATGTACAAAAGAAAAAAAAATAGATTTTTGTTTCAGTGTTGTAAATAAATTTACTTCTTATTCTAAAAAATTACCATTGTAAAGAGGAGAACTTTCTTTCTTCCAAAGATGTCAGAACATGCACCCACTATTGGACTCGATAAAAACTGCAAAAATGAAAATAAAGAACCAAGAATACCTAAATTGAGATAATAAAATAATAAGATAGATGCTAATAAGTGTTGCAGTTAACTTAACAAAACCATAGCAACAAACAAAATGATCTTTGATTCTAAAGTTATTTGAATAAATAACAACAAACAAAAAGATCTTTGATTCTAAAGCTAATTGAATTAACAATAACAACAAAATTTCTTATTAAATTATTTTTAAAAGTATACTATTTTTTGAGTATTTTTTATTGTTTAAGAAATAAAACTTATTATGACAATACTAATAAATAATATTTAGTAAGTTTGTTACTAGAGTTTCAGAATTAGCTCTTCTGAAGAGAATTCAACTTGTGGTCAAATAATTAATACTTGCGGTGAGTTTTAGCATTCTGAATAATATTCAGAGTATTATAACTAACTTTTAATAATTAAACATCTGACAAATTATGCCAGATGATTTTTATTTAATAGTTAGTTTAATACTCTGAATATTTCTCAGAATACCAAACAGAACACCACAAGTAATAATTATTTGACCGCACAATTATTTGACCGCAATGAGCTGATTCTGAAACTTTATAAGCTTAAACTCTAAAAAGATATCAATCGGAATAACTAATTTGCAGGCATAGAGTTTTGAGTAAACTACTGTATAAATTTTATTATTAACTGATGTTATAAGTTACAAGAAGTTAACATGGCATCTGTGACTGTAACAAGTAATTGTATTGATCAAGTTGATAGATATGATATTTTGAAAGTTCCAAATACGCTAATAGTTAAAAGCCACATAGCTTTAGGAAAAATGAGGTTGGCATTTGGCAATGTCGACCTTAATTGCGAGGATTGATATATATATATATATATATATATATATATATATATATATATATATATATATACATATATATGTATATATATACATATATATACATACATATATATATATACATATATTTATATAAATATATATATATATATATATATATATATATATATATATATATATATATATATATATATATATATACATTTATATACATATATATATACTTATATATATATATATATATATATATATATATATATATATATATATATATATATATATATATATATATATATATATATATATATATATATATATATATATATATATATATATATATATATATATACATATACATATATATACATATATATATATATATACATATATATATACATATATATATATATATATATATATATATATATATATATATACATATATAAATAGCCTGACTCGCAAGAAAGTGCTGCTACATTGACTGACAAATAGCCTGACTCGCAAGGGAGTGCTGCAACATCGACTGAGGGTTTGGTTTGGGCAGGCAGTCTATCATTTAAAAAAAAATAAAAAATTTTGAAGTTTTTTAACATTTTCTGGTCAGGCTTATTATCGCGCTCTTTAAAACAACAGTTTATGGGAAAAACTTTGTGACTACCATGCATGACTAGATTTTTTTTAGGGAGTGATACCTTCTATGGAGAGACAATACTTAAAACTTTTGGATGATTCTTGATAATAAAAGTAATAAAAAGCTTGAATAAATATCCAAAACTGTTGATGTTGATAAAAATAGCATTGGTGAAGAAATAATTCGTTCATGTACAAAAGAGCGGTCCAAATAAAGGAAAGGAAGTAGTGATTGAGGGTAAGAAAATGCGAAAAGGCAAGAAATGTTTCAAAATGTAGCATAATCATACAGAGAAATATCATAAAGAATTATTATATAATATACTCAATATTATAAAGAATTATTATATAATATATTCAATATCATAAAGAATTATTATATAATATATTCAATATCATAAAGAATTATTATATAATATATTCAATATCATAAAGAATTATATAATATATTCAATATCATAAAGAATTATTGTATAATATATTCAATATCATAAAGAATTATTGTATAATATATTCAATATCATAAAGAATTATTTGATTCATATTGGTCAAAAAGTGTTTTGATCAGAAACACCAATATATTATAACAAGAGAAAAAGAGTAGAACCAAAAAGAAGAAGGAAAAGGAAGCATGTAGAAAAGAAAAAAATACATTTACATACAGCTTTCCATGCCAAAGAACTGCTACAGTAAGTGTAGAGAAAGATTTAAGAGATCGCCACAAAAACCAAAGCAAAATAGTAATTGAATGGGAACAAAATGTAATTGACCATATTGAAACCTTTTGAGCTGTTGAATCCCACTATATGAGACGTACAAAAAAAATTACAGTGTCTTCCTCAGGACCTTTCAAATAAGGAAATGTATAAACTCTTCGTAAATTAACAAGTAAAATTTCATTATCAAGGGATACAAGTTCTACCAAAAAGTTTTAAAACATTTTCATAAAACATAGATTTCATAAAATATAGATTTCATAAAATGTAGATTTCATAAAACGTAGATTTCATAAAACGTAGATTTCATAAAATATAGATTTCATAAAATGTAGATTTTTTTAAAACATAGATTTCATCTGAAATTCCAAAAACTCAAGAAAGATCAGTGTAGAACTTGTAAAAGTTTCACAAATAAAATAGAAAAGAACAACAAAGATTATCAAAAGTATAAAAAACATGTCAGTGACCAAAAATTTACTTGAGCTAATAAAGTAAAGAAGAATGAAGCTATAAAAATATTGTTGATTGTAACTGCAGCTTTTGACTAGAGCAAAACTATAAGGTACAAGTGGAGCTTTTTATTATTCCAGGTATATGCAAAATCATTGAACAACCGAACAATCTACACACCTATGCAATGAAAAACAACAATAGAGCAAGCTTTCAAAAAAAACACCTGTGTGTTAACTGTGTTAAATCATGATGATATAATCAATTTTAAAAATGAAAAAGCATTTCCAACATCCTCTGCAGTTTTAGCAAACAAATGGTTCAAGATATCAAACTCTACCAAAGCAAAACGTGTAAAAAAAATCTAAACCAAAAAA